TGATGTTTCTCTCTCATTGATGTTCCTAATTCTCTATCATTCTCCCTTCCTCTCTGTAAAAAATCAATAAAATATATTTTTTAAAAAGAATACTACCACTATATTAGTACAGATAATAACTAGCTTTCACACAGAAAATATATGGCAATTAGTAGTATAAATTAAACTGTGATTATTCCCTATTTTATATTGTGATTATAGAAAGGGCTGATGGGATTCAGAATAACATATTAATTGCATTATATCCTTATTACAAAGTTTAAAACTATATTATTGATAAAGCTAGTTGACTGTACAAAGCTGGCTGAAAAGATTTTGTGATGGATTTCTTTCTGTACTATGCAGCCACACAGATTATTCTGTGAGCTTTGAAAGTATGCAGTTTGCAAAACCTGACAAGGTTAATGATTCTGTCTTTTCTATTCTTGATGTGTTGGTAACCTTTGCTCTGATTGCTGTATGCTCAACAATTAAGAGTGCAGTGCATGGCAGAGCGAAATCACATGGTAAAGACTTTATTATAGACACCAAACTAAATGTGTGCAGATGGCAGATGTCTGGCTTTTTAATCACGCTGACTTTTATGTATTCAGAATACAAGTGATCTAAACAGAAGTGGTCTGGTTCTATCCCCATGTCCAATCAAGTGGCACAACGCTGCCTACGCCCCTTCCTTTTACTTCCCATTGTGCCTCTTTTATTTTGAAAGACAAGGGCCATGTCTGCTCAAGCCAGTTTTATGGTACTCCACTTGCTTACTGACATTCCCCCGAAATTAGTCACCAGTAATAACACATTCCCACGGCCAAAGAGGGGGTTGGCTTCCTCAACTCCCAAGCTGTCACAGTGCCTTGTAGAGCTACTCTGCCTCACCTTTGGGTGAAAACTATGATGCAGCTGGGGGAAATCTGCATAAGCTTTACTCAATAGCGGGTCATTGAGATGAATGCTTACATTTCACTATTTAGATTATGGTCCATTGACTTAGAATTTCAGAGTGAAACTAGACTGGATTAGGAGTGGGGACCTGGTTGCTAATCCTAGTTCTCCACTAACACTGTGTGAGACCCTGTGCAAGTTTTGTCATCAAGGTGGACCTCAGTTTCCTGTTTTGAAAAACAAGTTTTCTCCCTCGGTTTCCCTCTAATCTGCTTTGTTTCTTTTCAGTTCAATATTCAGCTGGTTTCCATAAACTACTATATTGGATTCACTTGCTCTCCAAACATTTTGTGCCTTTTTATTATGCTTTAGCCAGAGAAAGTACAAAGAATAAACAGGCAAAAACAAACAAAAATCCCTTTTGATCATACAATATATATATATATGTGTGTGTATATATATATGTGTGTGTGTATATATATATACATATATATCCTATTATATATATATATATATATATATATATCCTATAAAAATAAACACATAATATGCTAATTAGACCAGAGAGCTGAACAACTTTCCAGATGAAGCTGAGGTGGTGGGGCTGAGGCAGAGGCGGTTAGGGGTGATCAGGCAGGCAGGCAGAGAGTGGTAAGGGGCAATGAGGCAGGCAGGCAGGTGAGTGGTTGGGAGCCAGTCCTGGATTGTGAGAGGGATGTCCAACTGCCCATTTAGGCCCGACCCCACGGGCAGTCGGGGCATCCTTTGAGGGGTCCCAGATTGGAGAGGGTGCAGGCTGGGCTGAGGGACCCTTCTCCCCCATGCACAAATTTCGTGCACCAGGCCTCTAGTGTGCCTATAATTGGAAACCTAGGAGAAATAGATAAATTTCAAGAAACATACAAACTTGCAAAAGTGAATCAAAAGGACCTCTTACCCTATGAGACAGTATGAGGAACCTGGAGAGTATTATGCTAAGTAAAATAAAACAGTCAAAAAAGAGACAAGAATCACATGATCTCACTCATATATGGAATCAAATGAACAAAATAAACTGAAAACCAAAACAGATTCAGAGACACAGAAACATGAAACAGACTGTCAAAACTCAGAGGGAACGTGGGGTTAGTAGGTGAGTGGCAAGAAATCAACCAAAGAACTTGTATGCATACTAGTATATACATAGCCCATGGACATAGACAATAGGGTAGTGAAGGCATAGAGCAGAGGTGGAGGGGTGGGGGTGATGGAGGTGGGCAAGAAGGGGTCAATGGGGAAAAGAGGACATAATGTAATACTTTCAACAATAAATATTTTTAAAAATATAAACCAATGGCATTTGCCACAGAATTAGAATAATCCTAAAATTTATATGGAACCACAAAAGATCCTGTAGCCAAAGCAATCTTGAGAAAGAAAAACAAAATTAGAAGTATCGTGCTATCCGATAGCAAACTATATAGCAAGGCTATAATTATCAAGACAGCATGGCACTGGCATAAAAACAGATGAACAGATCAATAGAACAGAATAGAGAGCCCAGAAAGAAACCCACATCGATATGGTCAATTACCGTATTTTTCGGACCATAAGATGCTCCGGACCATAAGACGCACCAGTTTTTAGAGAAGGGAAATGAAGAAAAAAGATTCTGAAACAAATAGTGTCCTAAAATATTTTATGTGCATTAAAACCCAACATCACAGTCATAAACACATGTAATCAACCCTGTAAAGTAAACAGCAGCATTTAGAACCATTTTAGAGCCGGGCAAGCACACAGAGACCACACAGAGCCAGGCAAGTAAAAAAAACTTTTTTTTTTAAAGTATATGTGTAGGCACTTCTGGGGGGAAAAAAGTGCGTCTTATGGTCCGAAAAATACGCTATATACAATGGAATGTTACCTGACCATGAATAAGAATTAAATCTTAGGATTTGCACAACATAATGGACCTAAGAAGGTATCATGCTAAGTGAAATAAATCAGACAAAGTCAAATATCATATGATATCACTTATACCTGGAATCTAAAAAATAACAACAAAAAACAGAAGCAAACTAATAGATACAGAGAACAAACTGGTGGGTACCAGATGCAAGTGGGTTTAGGAACTGAGTGAAAGAAACCCTGGCCAGGTGGCTCAGTTGGTTGCAACATCATCCCATACACCAAAAAGGTCTTGAGTTCAATTCCCAGTCAGAGTGCATAAAGGAGGCAATGCATCAATGTTTCTCTCTCTCTCATTCATAAAACATATCCTTGGATAGGGATTAAAAAAAGAGTGAAGGTATTAAGAAGTACAATTTGGCATCTATAAAATAGTCGCATAGGTGTATAGTATAGCATAGGGAGTGTAGTCCATAATATTGTAAGCTGTCAGGTGGTTACTGGACATATAGGGGGAGCACTTTGTGAGTTATATAAATGTCTAACCACTATGCTGAACACCTGAAATATCATATTGAATGTCAACATAACTGAAAATTTTTAAAACTGAAAATTTAAAAATAAATAAAACTCAATACAAAAACAAACCATTCAATTAAAAACAGGGACAAAAGACTTGAACAGATGCTTCAAGAAAGAATATAGATGGCAAATAAGCACCTCAAAGATTTTCAACATGGTTAGTCATTAAGGAGTTGCAAACCAAAACCATGAGATACCACTACACACCTAAGAGAATGGCTAAGCTTCAAAAAGACTGACCATACTAAGTGTTATTAAGTATCTGGAGAACCTAGAACTCCCATACCCTGCTGAAGAGAATATAAAATATCCCAATCACTTTGGAAAAGTTTGGCAGTTTCTTAAAAAGTTAAACATATACTTGTCCAGTTGATCCAGCCATTCTACTCCTAGGTATTTATGCAAAATAACTACTAGTAAAAGCATTTGTACATGAATGTTCACATAGCTTTATTTGTAAAAGCCAAAATAACCCCAAAATCCATCAACAGATGAATGATAAATCAGCTGTATATTCATGGAATGATTTATACCTGCAACAACATGGATGAATTTCAAGATAATTATGCTGAATGAAAGTCAGATGAAAAAAATGTATAAGCTGTATGATTCCACTTGTATTACTACTAGGGGCCGGTTGCAGGAAGATTCCTGCAAGAACAGGGCTTCTGGGGGGCTTCCCTCCCACCACCGCCACCTCTCCGCCCACCCCCTATGCTTTCCCTGCTGCCTCTGCCCCCTCCCCCGCCACCAACCATCGGAAAACACAGATATTTACATCACCATAGCAAAATTACAGTTATGAAGTAACAACAAAAATAATTTATGGTTGGGGGTCACCACAACATGAGGAACTGTATTAAAGGGTTGCGGCATTAGAAAGGTTAAGAACCACTGCTCTAAATGATACATTGGCAGACTAGATTAAAAAAAAAAAGAAAAAAGAATATGTTCTCTCTAAATACCAATCTCAAAACCAAAAAGCCTTTTTGTTATTCTCCCTCTACTCTTTAAAATAAAGAGAAAAAAAGGACAGTTCCACATACATCATTTCATTTGGTTTTTACAACTCTATAAAACATGCAAGACAAATAATGGCATTTTATGCATGAGAAAAGTGAAGCTCAGAGAAAGAACTTGTCCTATTTGTCTGCTATGTCTCATTATTCTTAAATACCCTTTAAAGGTAGAGCAATATAGGTCATTTAAATCTTTAATTTAAAACCTTATATTATCCACTGTTGGAATCACCATCATTTTGGTTCAGAGTAAGCGAAAGAAAAAAATGACTAGGCTTAAGTTTTATCATCTTGACCTCTCATACCCATTCATTATTAACAAAGTTCAGATAATAAAGAATTGGTTAAACCTCAGAAAATAAAAAGTAAACAGGCAAAATATATAGCCATATTTGTTGTTCACATAAAAATTAATATGATGACTATGGTATATAAAATTTCCTTTCAAATTCTTACTGTTTATTAGGATCTAAAGATCTATTATCTCTTAAAATTTATATATTAAAATACATTAATATCAGTATTTTAATATATTAGAATATTTTATCCTGTCTATTTCAAATTAAAATTCTAAACTATAACATTATATAAATTAAATGGCTTTTAAGGGTAAAAGTCATATGCTCTTACCGTGTAAGTGTTGACTTAAGAGTTGCAGAAATTTCCCTCAGGCAGCATCACCACTTTGGCTCAGGTATCAGAGTAACAGCAATCAAAATTAAAACTAAAAAGAAAAAATAAAATAAATACTGGCAAGCAAAATGCATTCAATTCTTCAAAGAAGTCTTAAATTCAAATTTCACATTTCAACAATTTCATCAAGGGAGCTCTAATTCCGGAATTAGTTCTTTTGAAATTAAAACAAGAAGCTAATAAGGTATGTGAATTGCTGTATAATTCCAACTCCCTGCCCCAGAGTAAGCTCTAAAATTAATTTCAAGGAATTACAATAAATAATAGGCAAAGGGCAGAAACATAAAAAGGCAAGTATACTGTAAGTTTATTCAACTGAAATTCATTGTTTGCCATGTGCTGGAGCTGCGAGGTACCAAAAAGTACAACATGATTTCCTCCCTAAAGAGATCTATGGTTTAAAAAGTACATATAAGAAAAATTAAATGACTAAGCATTTATTCATTCAGCAAAACTTTATCAAACACCTTGTATAAGTTAGCTTCCTTTTAAACACTGCAAACAAATAAGGAAATGCATGTTCATGAAACAACTCAGTTTCATGAATGTAACTAATCATCTACACTAATAAAATATTAAGATGCAAATTGACCATACCTTCGTGATGCCCACCAGCCAATCTGGAGTATGCAAATTAATCCAACGAAGATGGTGGGTTAATTTGCATACCCAGGCACTGAATGGCCAGGGTGGGATGCTGGTGTTGTCTCTATGGAGACAACTGCCCCCAGCTGCTCCAGGCATTCCACACTGCCCCCAGCTGCTCCAGGCCTCTGGGCAATGTGGGAAGGCGAAAAGGTGGCTCCAGGCCAGAGCAAAAGGGTGGCTCTGGCTGGAGCGAAGGCAGTGCGGGCAGCCAGGGGAAGGAAGGTCCATTCTTGCACGAATCTTTGTGCATCAGGCCTCTAATAATAAGTAGATGCTCAAAAGCAAGAGCATGGCACCAAAATGGGGTAGGATATACCAAACAGCTCAGGGGAAGTCAAGAGAGATAGGAGGAGTGAGCCTAGCAAGGCCAGGTAGGCAGAGGAAGGGAAAGGTATGCAAATTCCACAGGAAAGAAAAGCAGCGTTCACTCTACTAAAGAGCACTACTGAACATGCATGAAATGTACGAAGGCCTTTACATGATGAGAACCTACACAATCAAGACTGTCAACATCTTTTTGAAACTATGGAAAAATAGATCATTCAATGCCACTAATTTATGCACGCCTTACTAGTATGCTTATTTAAAATTAAAAGCAGTACCTAATTTTCTTCCCTTTCCCTAGGAACTCTTGATTATACAAAGTAGAAGGAAAAAAGTGAGTTTTTCCTAACTAATTTATGTAAGTGATCACTTTATTTCCAAATACAGAGAACTGTCCCTGGATTTTAGATTATCCTGGATCATCTTATTTGCATGATTTTGAAAGTAACCAACACTATACACTTCACTTTAGAGGTGATTATATCTAGATGACTGTGTTTTCTAGATGATCATTTATGTTAAGCAACATGTATTAACTCTTCCTTTGGGTAACACAACTATGAGTTTTCCAATTTTGTGAAAGGCTATGTAACTATTATTTTGTTATTAGTTATTACTTGGTGATGCTTTACTCAGGACTAAGCACAGTGCTAATATGTGACATATATTTTATATTTAACTTAATCTTCACAGGCACGAAATATCTCCATTTAAAAGCAAGAAAATTGAAGATCGGAAGGTGACTTTCCCAGGATAACACACAGCTTGGAAGGGGTTGGGTTAAGATAGGTCTGTCTAGCCAGTCACTCATTTTAGTTACTGTGTTAGATGGCCTCCTTTTGGGCATGCACACATGCATTTTTCTTTCCTACTCTACTGCTAACAGATCTAACATAATTATAAGCCTATATTTATATAGTTTATAGTTATAAACTATAACCATAAAGGTCTTAAAAGAATTAACTAGATTTTCTGAGTATGTTGCCTAATTTTACAGGGCAAAGTTTCCTTTTACTCCTCTGAAATTACAAATTAAGTTTAGTAAGTGTGAAACCCAGCACTTCTACAAAGAGGTGTCATGTAGCAAGCACAGGGGAACACATTTACTTGCAATGCCAGAATTCAAAATTCTGTATATGGCCCCATGGTTAAGCTCTGAGTGGTGCTGAAAACGTTCTTCTGCGGCTAGAGTCTAGGAGCAGAGCTGCCATGTAATTTCCTACCAACGGGCTTGCATTCATGGTGCTCCCCCACAAGAATGCCCTCTTTTATTCTAGTTTCCATGCATCCAAATTGTCTCTTGACTTCAGAATACAGCCTAGTTCCGCCTCCTTCATCCACCCATTTTCACTGCTCTCTCTGCTTGACAAACACTTATTTTATTGTGGAAATGTGCCAGGCATTATTGTGTGTTGCCCTACCCTGCAAAATCAAAGTCCAATTTTGCACCCCTAAGAATCTCTTGGTCATCTAGAAGAAAAGTCATACAAACAGGGATTAGTATTCAATGTGGTAAAGGTATATACATGGTATCAAGAGTGAGCGGAAGGCGCAGATGCCACTGGAGACAGGTGTGGCAACGAAGGATTCAGAGTCCTGGTAACACTGGAGCATTAACTCAGATGACAGAAGATGAAGACCTAAAATAAGACAGGCCCTCGCCAATCTGGCTCAGTGAACAGAGCATCACCCTGCAGACTGAAGGATCCCAGTTCAATTCTGGTCAAGGGCACATACTAGGGTTGCAGGCTCGATGCCCAGTAGGGGGCGTGGAGGAGGCAGCCAATAATGATTCTCATCATTGATGTTTCTATTTCTCCCTCTCTCTTCCTCTCTGAAATCAATAAAGACATATTTTTAAAAAATAATAAGACGGGATAATTTTTTAAAGGGAAGAAACTTGAGATCTGGATGATGAAGTGGATGGGGTGCTGAGATGCGTCAGGGTGGAGTCAAGGAACACTAAGGCAACATAGTCTGGCATCCCCCTTTTACAAATGGGCAGTGTCCAACACGACAGCCTCCAGCCACAGGGCGCACTTGAAATGTGGTTGGGATGACTAAGGAACTGAATCTTTTATTTCATTTTAATAAATGTTAGTTTAAATAGCAACCTGTCGCTAGCAGCTATTGTACTGGACAGTGCAGCTCTTAAGGTATCAGGCTTGAGATAATGAGTTGAAGGGGTTATTACCAATATCTGAGAAAAGAATACCAAGATGAAGAGCATACAGACACTCAAATATTTGTTGGGGGGGAAAAAAGAATGAACAGAAAATGAAGAAAGGAACAAACTGGTTGAGCTTTAAGGACTTCTCCCTTTAAAATCCCATCATACAGATACCTATCCTTGCTCATTTAAGTTTCAAATAAGGTCCTCAATATGGTAGCACCAAAATGTACTCATGCTGTTTCCAGATCTCAGTCCAATTTTTAAAATAGTACTACTAAATTAAAATTCCTCATGTTAGTATATGAAAAAAAGAAAAACTCTATATGGAAGCCATGGCAAGTTGTAACTTAAGGAATAACACAGACCAACAACAATCAAGCCAGGATAAATAACTGTCTAGTAAAATATGTCTTTTTCAGAAAGGAAGGGAAGGTAGGGAGGAAGGACTAGAGAACTTTATGATGAGTTCAGGTAATTTCAAATGAACTACTGACCATTCACCTCCTAAGCAGTTCAGTTTATATTCAGTTTACATGCCTGTGTCATCTGTTGAGAGAAATGATTGAATATACCTCATGAAATATCTTATTTTACTCTATGCACATGTGTCAAACACAAGGCCTGCGGGCCAAATCCGTCCCACCAGGCCTTGCAATGTGGCCCACACCGCGCTGTCATCACTGCACTCCACTGCGTTTCCATCACAATGACAGTTTATGACTTTCAGTAAACCATTCGGCCCGCGATTTAGGCTGGATTTTAGATTTTGGCCCCTTCTCTGATTGAGTTCGACACCCTACTATAGAGCATTTTAAAAGGTCAATGATAATAAAGTTTTCCCTAGTAATATACTCTTTAATCTTAGTTATACACAACAAAGTCAATATGAAATAAAAAATTCTGTGCTATGAAAACATTTCATCTGAGAACAGGTTGTGCCTAAATGAGGCATTGTTAATCTGGCAATATCCTCCTAATCTGATTATATTAAGATTTGTTTACTATTTTGGTCCTTGCCAGTCTCTCTTAAGCTTCTGAATTTCAGTTTTTATAAATTAGAAGCTAGCATATTACAACACTCACACAGTCCCAAATATCTACTTATCCCCTGATTTTCCAGTGCTACCTTCTTAATCAGACTCAAATTCTAAGTTCCTCTCTAACCATGAGATCATGGCATTAATGTTCTTATTTATTCACATATAAAGTTCTGTTTACAAGATTATTAGACACTTTAGAACATGAAGCTATATTAGCGTCAGAGAAACATATCCCATCAGAACATATAATACGAACTATTTAGCAAGAAGTGTTTATCTAATCCCATGATTAAAAAAAAACCACACACACAAAAAACACCAATCTTTGTGCTTCCCGCCTTGGCCTCTCAGGCTGGTTATCTGAGCTTCAATTCCTATTGCTAAAACAGTCCCACATCTTTTATATCAGAGCCTGTAAGAACACACTTCAACTTAACTGGCGCCACTATTCAACTTAACTTATAAGTGAGCTCTTATATAGAAGGTGAGATAAAAACAATATTAAGGCCCTGACCAGTTTGGCTCAGTGGATAGAACATCTGCCTGTGGACTGAAGGATTCCAGGTTCGATTCCGGGGAATCTTGACTGCAGGCACATCTCCAGTAGGGGGTGTGCAGGAGGCAGCTGATTAACATTTCTCTCTCACTCTCATTGATGTTTCTAACTCTCTATCCTTCCTTCCTCTCTGTAGAAAATCAATAAAAAATATATTTTTAAAAATGTTAAGTAATAAGACAAGGTCTTGGTCCCAGAAAGCTTTAGCTGGTAGGAAAGAGTAAACAAACACGAGAGTTCTAAAACAAGTAGCAGAAAATACATTGCTATAAGTTAATAATGTTAGCCAGCTGACACCCGAGGAACACGCA